AAGGCCTGTGAAACGCAGTTTCTTCCCAGCCCTGATCTCGCTGAAGTAGAACTTCTGCTCTGCCGTGTCCTACATTGCCCTGGGGGTACAAGGCACAAAGTCCTGCCTTGTTTCCTCCAGGGGGGAAAGGTCACAAAGCTTCATGCTTCCAGCTCATTGGGAAGCTGAGAAACAACTCGCTCTCCACAGTGCTCTTACAGCCTACCGGGAACATCTCTTACAAAGGCCTGTGAAACGCAGTTGCTTCCCAGCCCTGATCTCGCTGAAGTAGAACTTCTGCTCTGCCTTGTCCTACGTTGCCCTAGGGGTGTAAAGGAAAAAGAAATAAATCGTGGGGCTGGCCCCGTGGCCGAGTGGTTAAGTTCACGCGCTCCGCTGCAGGCGGCCCAGTGTTTCATTGGTTCGAATCCTGGGCGCAGACATGGCACTGCTCATCAGACCACGCTGAGGCAGCGTCCCACATGCCACAACTAGAAGAACCCACAACAAAGAATACACAACTATGTACCGGGGGGCGTTGGGGAGAAAAAGGAAAAAATAAAATCTTTAAAAAAAAAAAAAATAAATAAATCGTTTCCTCAAGGGGAGACAAGCAGCAAACGTTCTTGCTTCCAGCTCTTTGTGAAGCTAAGAAACAATTCATTCTCCACAGTGCTCTTACAGCCTCCCGGGAACATCTCTTACAAAGGCCTGTGGAATGCAGTTTCCTTCCAGCGCAGATCTCGTTGAAGTGGAACTTCTGCTCTGCCATGTCCTACATTGCTGTAGAGGTGCAAAGCACAAAGTCCTGTGGAGACAGGCCACACAGCGTCTTTATTCCAGCTCATTGGCAAGCTGAGAAAGAACTCACTTTCCACAGTGCTCTTATAGCCTACCGGCAACCAGTCATACAAAGGCCTGAAACGCAGTTTGTTTACAGCCCTGATCTCGCCGCCTTAGAACTTATGCCATAAGCCGTGAAGACATTGCCCTGGAGGAGGAAGGCACAAAGCACTGAGTCAGTGCCTCAAAGGGAGACAAACTAGAAACGGTCTTGCTTCCAGCTCTTTGGGAAGCTAAGAAACAACTCGCTCTCCACAGTGCTCTTACAGCCTACCGGGAACATCTCCTACAAAGGCCTGTGAAACGCACTTTCTTCCCAGCCCTGATCTCGCTGAAGTAGAACTTATGCTCTGTCGTGTCCTACGTTGCCCTAGAGGTACAAGGCACAAAGTCATGCATTGTTTCCTCAAGGGGAGACAGGCCACAAAGCATTTTGCTTCCAGCTCTTTGGGAAGCTAAGAAACAACTCGCTCTCCACAGTGCTCTTACAGCCTACAGGCAACATCTCCTACTAAGGCCTGTGAAACGCAGTTTCTTTCCAGCCCTGATGTCACTGAAGTAGAACTTCTGCTCTGCCATGTCCTACGTTGCCCTAGGGGTGTAAAGGAAAAAGAAATATATCGTTTCCTCAAGGGGAGACAAGCAGCAAACGTTCTTGCTTCCAGCTCTATGTGAAGCTAAGGAACAATTAGCTCTCCACAGTGCTTTTACAGCCTCCCGGGAACATCTCTTACAAAGGCATGTGGAACACAGTTTCTTTCCAGCCCTGATCTCACTGAAGTAGAACTTCTGCTCTGCCTTGTCCCACGCAGCACTAGAAGTGTAAAGGAAAAAGAAATAAATCATTTCCTCAAGGGGAGACAAGTCACAAAGCGCCTTGCTTCCAGCTCTTTGGCAAGCTGAAAAAGAACTCGCTTTCCACAGTGCTCTTAAAGCCTACCGGGAACCAGTCCTACAAAGGCCTGAATTGCAGTTTGTTTCCAGCCCTGATCTCACCGCCTTAGAACTTCAGCTCTAAGCCATCTCCTACATTGCTCTACAAGGGGAAGGCACAAAGCACTGAGTCAGTGCCTCAAAGGGAGACAAACCACAAACGGTCTTGCTTCCAGCTCTTTGGGAAGGTAGGAAATATCTTGCTCTCCACAGTGCTGTTACATCCTACCGGGAACATCTCTTTCAAAGGCCTGAGAAACGCAGTCTCTTTCCAGCCCTGATCTCACTGAATTTGAACTTCTTCTCTGCCGTGTCCTACATTGCCCTAGAGGTGCAAGGCACAATGTCCTGCCTTGTTTCCTCAAGGGGAGAGAGGCCACAAACCGTCCTGTTTCCAGCTCTTTGGTAAGATGAGAAAGAACTCGCTTTCCACATTGCTCTTACAGCCTACTGGGAACCTCTCATACAAAGGCCTGAAACGCAGTTTGTTTCCAGCCCTGATCTCGCCTCCTTAGAGCTTCTGCTCTAAGCCATGTCCTCCATTGCTCTAGAGGTGGAAGGCACAAACCACTGAGTCAGTGGCTCAAAGGGAGACAAACCACAAACAGTCTTGCTTCCAGCTCTTTGAGAACCTAAGAAACATCTCGCTCTCCACAGTGCTCTTACAGCCTACCGGGAACATCTCTTACAAAGGCCTGTGAAACGCAGTTTCTTCCCCGCCCTGATCTCCCTGAAGTAGAACTTCTGCTCTACCATGTCCTAAATTGCCCAAGAGCTGCAAGGCACAAAGCCCTGCCTTGGTTCCTTAGGGGAAGACAGGTCCCAAAGCGTCTGGCTTCCAGCTCTATGTTAAGCTAAGAAACAACTCGCTCTCCACAGTGCTCTTACAGCCTACCGGCATCATCTCTTACAAAGGCCTGTGAAACGCAGTTGCTTCCCAGCCCTGATCTTGCTGAAGTAGAACTTCTGCTCTGCTGTGTCCTACATTGCCCTAGAGCTGCAAGGCACAAAGCCCTGCCTTGGTTCCTCAAGTTGAGACAGGCCCCAAAGGGTCTGGCTTCCAGCTCTCGGGGAAGCTAAGAAACAACTCGCTCTCCACACTTCTCTTACAGAAAACCGGCAACCTCTCTTACAAAGGCCTGTGAAATACACTTGCTTCCCAGTCCTGATCTCGCTGAAGTAGAACTTCTGCTCTGCCGTGTCCTACATTGCCCTAGAGGTGCAAGGCACAAAGCCCTGCCTTGGTTCCTCAAGGGGAGATAGGCCCCAAAGTGTCTGGCTTCCAGTTCTCTGGGAAGCTAAGAAACAAGTCAGTCTCCACTGTGCTCTTACAGCCAAATGGGAACATCTCTTGCAAAGGCCTGTGAAATGCAGTTGCTTCCCAGGCTGATATCGCTGAAGTAGAACTTCTGCTCTGCCATGTCCTACATTGCCCTAGAGCTGCAAGGCTCAAAGCCAGTCCTTGCTTCCTCAAGGGGAGACAGACCCCAAAGCGTCTGGCTTCCTGCTCTCTGGAAGGCTAAGAAACAACTCCATCTCCACAGTGCTCTTATAGCCTACCGGGAACGTCTCTTGCAAAGGCCTATGAAACGCAGTTGCTTCTCAACCCTGATCTGGCTGACGTAGAACTTCTGCCCTGCCGTGTCCTACATTGTGCTAGAGCTGCAAGGCACAAAGCCCTGCCTTGGTTCCTCAAGGGGAGACAGGCCCAAAAGCATCTGGCTTCCAGCTCTCTAGGAAGCTAAGAAACAACTCACTCTCCACAGTGCTATTACAGCCAAACGGGAACATCTCTTTCAAAGGCCTGTGAAACGCAGTTACTTCCCGTCTTGATCTCCCTGAAGTAGAACTTCTGCTCTGCCGTGTCCTACATTGCCCTAGAGCTGTAAGGCACAAAGCCCTGCCTTGGTTCCTCAAGGGGAGACAGGCCCCAAAGTGTCTGGCTTCCAGCTCTCGGGGAAGCTAAGAAACAACTCACTCTCCACAGTGCTCTTACAGCCTACCGGGAACATCTCTTACAAAGGCCTGTGAAACGCTGTTGCTACCCAGCCCTGATCTTGCTGAAGTATAACTTCTGCTCTGCCCTGTCCTACATTGCCCTAGAGCTGCAAGGCACAAAGCCCTGCCTTGGTTCCTCAAGGGGAGACAGGCCCCAAAGCGTCTGGCTTGCACCTCTCTGGGAAGCTAAGAAACAACTCGCTGGCTATGACCTTTTCAAAAAGAAAAGGTAGATTCATTTGTTCTTTCACTAAAAGTTTTGAGTGCCCATGGTGTGCCTTATGCAGTTCTAAGTACCACAAATAAACGGTGAAAAATGGTCAAAAATCCCTGCCCTCATGTAATTTATATTGGTGGCACACATGTAACAAAGATAAAGATATCCAAGTTTTAGTTAGGTGAAAAACTAGTTATTAAAAAGAAAGTTGCAGAACAGTATGTATAGTATAATTCCCTTCCCTTTACAAAATTAGTGTTGTTAATATATGTGTGGGGGGACATGGAAGAATGCATAACTGTAATGCTGTTAACCTCGTTTATCTCTGAATCAAGAGATTATAGGATTCTTTTGCTTTATAAGTCATGTTATATGTTTACTGTGTGAATTTTTGTATAATGTTTAATTTTTTGGAATAGTGTATATTTATATTTGGGAAAAAGAATGAAGATTTTAAAATACAATTTAAATTCTGTTTTTGAATAAGCTTCTTGTTGATATTGTCGACGAAAATAATCCATTTCCAATCTATAAATGAAAATTTGGGTGAGTTTATTCTGAGCTTAAATCTGAGGATTATAACCCGGGAGAGTCTTTCCACAAAGGAACAGAGCACTCCAAAGAAGTGGGGGTATAAGGGTGGTTATATACCCTCAAAGAGGATGTTTCACATAGGATTGAAACGTCCCTCCCACAATAGTCGCTAGACTGCTCTGTCGGCACAGTGATTGATGGAAATAGCAGGTAGGTCTTCTGTCTCTGTGAACACAGCAGGGTGGCAGTCTGTTGTCTCCAGCTGGGTGGTCACAGGTGAGCTGGGAGGTGAGTGCAGCAATCAGTTCCTAGACTAAGGAAAAATGCTAATGTCGGGGGGAAGTTGCATCTTTATCTCAAGGGCCTTTTTTCTGGCCAAAGGAAATGTCTAAGCAGATATGCAATGCGTGCTCAATAGCCAGTCAGGCCCTTTTGGAGGAAAAAAAAAGTCAGGCCGAATTAGGCTTCTACCAAATGGCTTCCTCATATACTCCAATATATCCTATTGCTTGCCATTTTTATTTGTCAATATTAATACAGGGTAATGCCTAGCCATAGAAATCATTTTTAAGATTTCCATTGAGACTTTTGGTCTAGTACTTTTGTAAAAGTATTCCTAGCTCAGCTAGCTCCATGAAATAAATATATCTGTAAACTCTTTTGATTTTATAGGAATTTGCTGTCGATCCAGAGAAAATACAGTTGTATTCTTTATATCATTCACTGCATCATTATAAACATCATGTTTATCTCATATGTAAAGATGAGGTAATTATTTTTCACTTATTTTACAAAAGAAATGTGTGTTTTTCCAAATTTTTCCAAATTTTAAGGAGACTGTAGTATAGTATTTTTTAATGTTTCAAAGACCACTGTTAGAAAATGTGTCTATATTCTCCTGTAAATAATAACAAGAAGACTTATTGTTTGGAGTCTCTGTCGTGTGTTGTGCTCGGTGCTCAGAGTAATCTGAGACTCATCGCCTCTCGTGGGAACTGTAAGTGGTAATGTTTTTAAGCTGTTAGAGCTTGCTGTACCTTGCCATAATAAAAGGTCCTTTGCCGCATGTTCTCTCATAAAGTATGATGATTCTGCTGTAATTCGCTTCAGTCACTGCTGTCTTCTTATCACTAGCATGGCCTTATCCCACTTAATTGCAGAGAAATAGGGCATTTGTTCCTTGGCATGAAGAAATTATAATTAAAATGTAATGTTAACTATTAAATACCATAATTTAAGTTGCTCAGAAGTTATGTATGACAATAATACCATTTTTGGATTGGATATAAGGATTAATTTGCTTAGAAGTTAAATGACTATAGACATTACTACCTTTTTTTGACCAGCACTATCAATTTTTTTAATCAAAAAGGGTGAAGTTGGCTCAAGGCTGTACCCGATATGTTTGATCATGGTTTAGTGTGGAAGGATGTTCATAAATCGAACCTCTGTCTAGCAAAGGAGAAAGTAAAGATGGTCATGTAAAATATGGTGACCGCTGTTACAGTGCTTTGAAATGCAGAATTGACCCCCAAATTTGCCTTTCAGCTTTTAACACAATTGGAAGGAATTGAGAAAGTTTGAGCCACTTTTCCTAGCCTTCCTCCCTGCCCCACGGAGCCAAAAATGATAGTATTAGACTTAACCCACATTTATTTGAAATAATCCTTTTCCATGGATAGATTTTTCCAAAAAAGGATTCTTACTTGTAGGTGACTTAATCTCTTTTCATTCAGAATATAGAAACAGTAAGCCCTTGCGAAGAGCTTATAAAGTGATAAGTATAAGCGAATGTGCCAATTCTCTTTATTTTAGATTTCTTCTGTGCAGAAAAGAAATGAAGATTTAGGACAGGAAGAAATTGTTCAACTTTGTATGAAAAATGTAAAATGGGTGGAAGACCTATTTGAAAAATTTGGAGAACTTCTAAATCATGTTCAGCAGAAATGTTCCTAACAATTTCCACAAAAGTGCCGTCCATTTTGTAGCACTAATGAGATGGCGGAGAGGGGTGATCAAAGAGGGTCTGGGGCCTCAGACAATTGAATATCAAGCAGTGGTCTCCTGCAGGCCCGCCTGCTCCGATCAGGGAACTGGCATCGTGACCTCTGCTGAAGGACAGTGGTGCTGCCAAGGAATTCAGTCCTTCGGAAGTGGACCTAAATCCCACGACATGTGTATCCTAATGAATGATTTTTCTATTTTGTAAACCATTGCGTAACTGAGTTTTATTTTCAGAAGCGTTTTTTTGACAAGTGAAGCATGCACTAAATACAATTTTTCGTTATTGCTAGAGAGATAACACTTAAATAACTTGATAATTTTTTCCTGACTCTGACTAAACACCAGGATGAAAGAAAGGGGACAGAAAGCCTATGTTTGCATTCGTGTCTGGCCACGAAACGGAAAGTATTGTACGTTATGACAACAGATCTGGTGTGATGTGACATTTTGTACGAGAATATCAACAGTTTAAAATATGAAATTCAGAATCTGCATTCTGCTTTACGAACTCCTTTTACTCTTATGTTCAGGAAACTGGATGTGGAATTGGTGCAATTCTATGACTGCTTTTCATGTCAAATTATATTGTGATGAAAAAAACAATGACATACTATTTTCCCTATCTCAAAGAAAAGTATTTTCCTTTATACTTTTTTCCCTTTAGAAAAATTCTCAGTCGTACATTTTATTTCACTAATAGTTGTATTTTTCACAAGGAAAGTGTTGTGGTTATAATTATGTTTGATGTATCTGTACTACACTTTTCATTATTTTCAGTAAATCTTATTTAGATAGATATTGAATTTCTATTGTGAATTCTATCTTGAGGTAACCATTTTTGTTTATACAGATTTCCTTCAGTGTTATCCAGAATATGCATTTAGTACTAGAATTAGTTTAGCTTTATAAATGGGGTTGTGTTAGACACTGCAGTAATTTCCTGATTCAGGAAAATAAATTTCTTACTAAATTAGCACTTGATTAACTGATTTATCAAAATAAAAATCTAACCACATTATACATTTTGAGGAATAAATGTTTAGTAGACCTCATGCAGTGTTAAACCCAGCTTACCTAACTGAGAACTGGAAGTGGTGGAGCTCTCCTTTGGGTGACTTTCCAGAACACATATAACGGGGAATTTTTCCCATAGGTCGGGTGTTATTAGGCCATGTATCACAGGTGTGATTGGTTTGTTCCCAACACAGAGTGTCCTTTTGACTGAGTTGACCACTAGTAGGGGTGAGCCAAATATATTTGTCCCAAATTTCATATAGTCCATCCTGTGTGTATCCATAAGTTGGGGGCTTTACCTTTGGAACTTGTTGCTTATGATCTACCTGTGACAAGGCAAATCTAGTTAGTATTTGGGCAGCAGTATTGAAGGAAAAGGCTTGATTGTGGCCAGGGAAATCCCAGGTATCAGAGACAGATGGCCACAAGGAGACATTATGACTAGTAATAGATGACTCTTGTAGAGGAGAAGAGCTAGAATCTAATATCCATAAATGCGTACTATAGTTTCTACTGAAACGTAATTCTTTTCTCTCTAAAATCACCCTCATTTTTACAAAAGATAGCCAAATTAAGATGAACTGGTTTGCAAATAAAGTGTAGTTTCAATACAACTTGGTCCAATTATTTACATAAGTGCAGGAAGTAATAGTAACGGATTATACAGGCTCTGTTAAATCTGCTTTGCTGGAATTTTTATGAGGAATCTCAGATTGAACTGTGAAGGCCTCTCGAGGCCAGAAAAGCCAAGCCAAGGACATGCTGTCAGATTTTGCCTGCAGTACCTACCAATTTGGGTGGATTTCTCTCTTCTTGAGGTCCCCCCAAATATTCTGAGGTTCCTTGCACCTGCCAGATAAGCAAGCTTCCTTACTTACCAGGTAAGATTGCCAGAATCTCTGTAAACAAGGTACCAGGCCCATATTTCCAAGTGGCTTTATTTCCAGAAAGTCAACCCTCTTCCTCAAAGGCAGTATTGTCATATCTGAGTCTGTATGTTTCTCTCAAATATGACATTCCAGTCAAAGCTTTGGTAAGATAACAAACGTGTCCTGTTATAAGGAGGACAGATTCTTATTGAACTTATGCAAATAACAATATTGCCATGAAACAACCATACTCACTCTCTTACGAGGTTTCCAAATTCTGGAGGGATCAGGTAGGGAGAAAAAGATAAATGTTTCAGTTTTGCTCATAAAGGTATACTATCACTAAATTGCTGTAAGTCATAGTCAGCATGAGAAAAGATTTCCTTAAATCTGAGGAAACAAAACAAAACCAAACATCAAAAGAATCAACAATATTTCAAATAAGAGTCATAAAAAGTCATAATCATCCTCATCAGTTCACACAGTCCTGTATAATTGATTACTGAGCTTAAGCTCCTGTTAGGAGGATCTATGAGGTTATCCGTTTCTCCATTAGATTTCTGTAATTTCTTACCCAGTCCAGTTCTGTGATCTGAAAGTTTATCAGAAAACTGTAATCCAGAGTAAGTGTCAGAGTCTTTTCCATGAATGTCTCTGAAGATGAGAAGTATTTGCAAAAGCAAAAAGCATCAGAGTAGAACAACCGACTGTAGACAACAAAAGACTTAAAAATGACAATTGACAAAGAAACTTATTATTTCTGATATACAACACCTTAAAATAATAGTTAGAATTATGGCTGATAGCCAGGACAGATCAGAATTTTAGGAATGTTATCTAATTTTCAAAACACTTATATCAGTAATATTTACCCACATAATACCACTTAGGAAAGATTATCATCGCTTATCTGATAATGCTTCCCAATGTAAATTAACCTACCAAGGAAGCCTAATTAGTTTAGAATCTTCCACCTTACAGGAAGGGAGAGCAAATGTCTCTCCGAAGTCCCAGGGGCCGTCTGAAAATCCCCAGAGAAATCCTCCCCCTTCTACCAGGTTAAAAGACAGCCTTCATTCGGGACTTGAATATTCTTGAGGGAGAAGCTTGTCAAAAATATCAAAAGATTTGAAAACACTTGTTCAAACAACGCTCACTGTGAGACAATGCTCAGGTATCCATTTAAAGTGACAACAGAAACAATCAAAAGTCTTAAGAGTGACCTCAGTCATTATACTAACAAAACGGATTTGTCTTTTAGGTAGACTTACTCAAAGGAACACCTTTTATAACCTCTTTATCAAGAGCAGACCAAAAGTTCAAGACAATTATCCTTTGAGAGAAAACCAAATTTTAATTTCTGTACCACTTTACTTTTTCATATTAAAACCCATTTACTTAATTAGATTCATTTCAATCTTAGCCAACTTCACCAGGCATAAAACTCCTTTCAGAATTTCTCCTTCACAAACCTTCTACAACTTTCTATTTGCCTTCAGAATTTGTCCCAAAGTCTTTTTTTTTTTTTCACCTAGTACTTTAGCACAGGTTTATCTTTTCTTAACCCATCAAACAAAAATATTCCATTCTTTATACCCTCTTGACTAAAAATTTACACCTTACTTTCCTTAAATACAGAGCTCTTTTTCTTATTAATTTCTAGCAGCTTTAATCACATATATTAGAACTCTTTCACCTTTAACAAACCGTAGGAAACACGAAAATGGTAAGCAATTATGAATTGTCTTTTATATCAGCATTCTAAACACTTTTCATAATTTCTAGAAACACGCCACACTTTCCATTTGATGCCTGCTACAACAGGCCACTTAAGACTCGAATCTCAGCACAGCTGTTCTCTCCACGCCTCATAGTGCTTTATTTTTTCCCCTAGATATCTGCGTATCTAGCAGGTGGGACAGTCGCCAGGGCAGGCGGCTCATGGTCAGGGGCAGGGCTGCACTCAGGGTCGGATCGAGTTAGGGTCAGAGTCAGGATCGATTTAGGGTCAGGATCAGGCTCCAGTTAGGGCTGGGGTAGTGAGGAGGGCTGGGTCTAGGGCGCAGTTGGCGTTAGTGCGGCCAGGGAGGAACAGGGCTGCCACCTCTGCTTCCCATCTGCATGGACCTCCTGTCCTCCTGCCCCAGGCCCGGGTGCTGGGCTGCCACCTATGGTGTAGACCCAGGGAGGGGACCCCGGGTCTGACTGAGCCGGCGCGTGGGGCCTCCTCCTGATGCGGGGTCGGTGAGCTGAGGAGTCGAAAGAAAGATTTCTTAGACTCTCAAGATCTGGCAGTAGTGCTCTTTTATTTAGAGAATAGTGTGGAATAGCATGGGGACAGGACCCATGGGCAGGCAGAGCTTCTACTGCTGCCTCTGCTGCCCCTGCTGGCATGGGGACAGAGCCCATGGGCAGGCAGAGCCGCTGCTGCTGCCCCCACTGGCGTGGGGACAGGACCCATGGGCAGGCAGAGCTGGTGCGTGGGGACAAGACCCACGGGCAGCCAGAGCTCCTGCTGCTGCCACTGCTGCTGCCCCCGCTGGCATGGGGACAGGACCCATGGGCAGGCAGAGCTGGTGTGTGGGGACAAGACCCACGGGCAGTCAGAGCTCCTGCTGCTGCCCTGAGTTGAGCGTTAGGGCTAATTTTATAAGGCATGGGTACGTGACTTATTTTTACTGGAGAAAAGAAAAGATGATGTAAAAAGTCATTAAATGATTTCAGTGCAGATGGGGTCTGGTTATTGTGCGGTCATATAACTTTAGATACGACTCTGGCCATATAGATCGGCATGTAGGTGAGGATGCCCTGGGCTTCTCTCCCTGGGGCGGTCCTAATTCATACCATAAAAAAAAGTCCACTGGGTCATATAGTTTGGCATGTAGGCCAGGTCACCTTGGGCTTCTCTAGCTGGGGCAGCCTTATTCCACATCATAAACCCCCCCTGAACCCATTTGGCCCCGAAATCTTTTGGGGATATGGACGACGGTCAGTCTTCTGTAACTACTTCCGGCTGTACAAGGTCGTAGAGCTGTCCCTAAATGGGGCCATAGGTATAGGTAGGAAGTTCAGTGGACCAGAAGGCTGCACCAGTGGAGTCCAAGCCTGACAATATGTACAGATCCTCTGGAGACGAGAGAATCATTTGACGAGAGGTGGTCCAGGAGGTGAAACTTTGTTGGCATGAGGAAGACAAACAATGAAACAGACAACAAATTATAATAGGAAATACTAGCAATATGATTAACCCAATGAATAAGGTTTTGGTAGCAGTCCAGAAACCTGGTCCTGACCAGGAGTTCAACCAGTCATTTAGAGATAGGGGAGGGTCAGACATGGACTTAATTTGGTGGCTCATATCAAATAGGAAGCCGGAGATATTTTGATGGTAGTCAGGAATATAGACACAACATTCAGTTTTTATAATGGCACAGGTGCCCCCCTGTGCTGCTGTCAAGACATCCAGTGCCATTCAGTTTTGGAGGACTGCCTTACGCATTTGGGACACTTCTAAATCAAGCAGCAAAAGGCTATGTTGTGTATCATTTTTATGCTTTCATAGTAAATTTGTTTAGAGCTTCCATGGGCCAGATGACACTTTCGATTCCTAACTGGGGAAGGAAAATTGAGGCAACGTGGTCATACCAGTGGAAGACAGAGCAGGTCCAGCGCTGTTGCAGGTTGGGTAGGTTAGCAGGAGGAGATATAGTAAATGTACTTCTACCTTGCATCCAGACAAAGCCTAGAGTGCATCGTCCAATCCATCCAGGTGGCAGCCAAGGCCATAAGTTGGAGCCACATAGCCACTGAGTGCCATTAGGGGCTAACCAATGCGCGCTGGGTCGTCTATCCCAGTCAGTCTCAAACCAATCAGTATTTTTTAAGGTTATGATATGAGAACACATATGACA